TAGAACTTAATCATAAATATACTTTCTGAGCTATTCAATAGATATTCAATACACCTGCCCGGTCCTGCAGATTTGCTTTATACAACATTAGGAAGATCAGGCCCTTTCTTTCGGAACATGCAACACAACTCCTTGTTCAAGCTCTTGTTATGGCAAGGCTGGACTATTGCAAAAACACTTGACCCTTTAACGCTTGCACTCTCTATTCCAGTGATCAGTAAGTTACTCAAAAAAAGTAATCCACTACAAATGACTAATTACTTCTTTAAAATTGTAATTCGATTACATTACCGATTGCTGTATTTAAAAAGTAATCACATTACTAATTACTTTACTTTCAAGTTACTTTTAAGTTTACTTTTCAAGTTATCGAACCTAAAAAAATACACTACAAAGTGAAACTCGCAGTTCTTTCAGTAATTTAATATTGACTGAAAAATTACATAAGCATCAAAACAGCAACTTGAACGATCACTTGCATATTTTCCTAATAAGAGCAAAAATAACTTAAAATGTTTCGTAATTTTGGATTGTACTGATAAAAGAGTAATACATCATTTGAAAGAGTAAAAGGTCTACTTTTATTTTTATGCACTCGCAATAGTAACAAAACATTGTGTTTTGTAAAATAAAGAAAACAAATAGGGTGTGCTTTCTGCAGTCTCAGTCTCCGCGAATATCTTCCTGAAACATGTCATTAAATTCTCAGCAAATACTTGACACACAGACATGAGAAATATATCTATAGAAAGATTGAAGTGTCTATTTATAAATAAAGTAAGTCATGTCAAAAACATAATCCCAGACAGGATTTACTTTACAGATTATTTTATTAGAGAATATTATCTCTACGTGCCTCGCGCTCTATACGATAATCATTCACATGAAACCAGGCTTGAGATGCGCAAACATGTAAATGCCCACATCACCTCCGTAAATAAGATTTATCAAGTTCATAAAGGCTGCTTTTTATTTTTGGAAGAAGATGTGCTGTGAGGAATAAGCATTGAATTTACCTCAGAAGAAGAATGCGATGCAACGTGGCTTAATCCAGCGGAGGATCTCATTCTGATTAATCGTTTATTTTTACTTATATTAGTGTTATTGTGACATAAACATACACATTTACTAGTTGAACTTTACCCAAACTATAATGGCAGACTAAAATATGTATCGAGTGCAACATTTTGAAATATGATAGGCAATCTTTCATTGCATCTAAATGTTGTAGGACTCGTCTGTATTAGCTCGCATTCTCTGGTAATTTATGAAAGGGCATACTGATGCGCAAAACATGATTTTTACTTTATATTTTTTAACAGTGCATTTGTAATTTAAGTAAAGTAATTTTATTGACATTAGTAACTGTAATCAAATTACATCAATTTAAAATGTAACGCATTACAGTACTGCGTTGTCAGTAAAAGTAATTAGAATACAGTAGCACATTACCCAACTCTGCTCTATTCGTTTTCTAACTGCTTGTTTTCATTTTATTTATTATAAAAAATTATCTTCTAACACTAGCATTCTCTATTCTTTTTCGTAAACGAATAGAGCAGAGTTGGGTAATGTGCTACTGTATTCTAATTACTTTTACTGACAACGCAGTACTGTAATGCGTTACATTTTAAATTGATGTAATTTGATTACAGTTACTAATGTCAATAAAATTACTTTACTTAAATTACAAATGCACTGTTAAAAAATATAAAGTAATTTTATTGACATTAGTAACTGTAATCAAATTACATAAATTTAAAATGTAACGCATTACAGTACTGCGTTGTCAGTAAAAGTAATTAGAATACAGTAACACATTACCCAACTCTGCTCTATTCGTTTACTAACTGCTTGTTTTCATTTTATTATAAAAAATTATCTTCTAACACTAGCATTCTCTATTCTTTTTCTACTCTTTTGAATAAATATATATATATAAACTTTGCTATGTGTACTGCGTTAGGCTACCTGGGACTTGTCATAGCACTTGCGTATTATTGCTCTTTTGTTGGTTTTGATTGCTTCTATTGTCCTCATTTGTAAGTCGCTTTGCATAAAGGCATCTGCTAAATGACTAAATGTAAACGTAAATGCATATATAAGAAAGGTCTGACTGTTTTTCACAGTAATAAGCATACAGTACACTTACTTTAGCAGGAAAGCAGCTAACGTTATATTAATTTTAAATTAGTAATGTTAGTCACAACATTAAATTATTTCCAATAATTGGTGCCGATATCCTCGTGGGCAGCGCGCTTGCACTTCGGGTGTCCCAAGTTCGAATCCCGCCTCGTGGACCTTTCCCGATCCTGTCCCCCTCTCTCTCTCCCACCCGCTTCCTGTCAGATCTCCACTGTCCTCACAAAAAAATAATTAAAAAATGCCAAGATAAAAAAATCCCATTAATATCCAGTCAGGTTTAAATGTTTACACAAACATAATTATTTAAAAATTATATATATATAATATAAATATATAAATTATATATATATATACTTATATAAATTATATATATATACTATATAAACTTTTTTTGAAATATTACTAATTTGAGGTTATGTGATTAAAAATCGTTCTGATCCCAAACTTTTGACCGGTAGTGTGAATGTTCATCTTAATGTTTTTTACAGGAGTTTCTTATGCTCATCAAGGCTGCATTACATTAAAATCTAATTTATTCCTGTGATGCAAAGCTGAATTTTCAGCATCATTACTCCAGTCTTCAGTGTCACATGATCTTCAGAAATCATTCTAATATGATGATTTATTATCAGTGCTGGAAATGGTTGTGTTGCTTAATATTTTTTTTGGAACCTGTGATACTTTATTTCAGGATTCTTTGATAAATAAAAAGTTAAAAAGAAGAGCATTTATTTCAAATAGAAATCTTTTCTAACAATATAAACTACAGTTCAAAAGTTTGGGGTCAGTACATTTTTATAATTTCTTTTTTTTTTTAAAGAAATTAAAACCTTTATTCAGCAAGGATGTGTTAAATTGTTAAGAAGTGATAGCAAAGATTTATATAGTTAGAAAAGATTTATATTTTGAATAAATGCTGTTCTTTTTAACTTTTTATTAATCAAAAAATCCTGAAAAAAGTAATCGCAGTTTCCAAAAAACTATTTGGCAGCACAACTGTTGCCAACATTGATCATTCTAATAATAAATCAGCATATTAGAATGATTTCTTAAGGACCATGAGACACTTTATACTGGAGTAATGGCTGATGGAAATTCAGCTTTGCATCACAGAAATAAATTATATTTTAAAGGATATTAAAATAGAACCCATTATTTTATATTGTAATAACATTTAGCAAGATTACAGTTTTTTTTTTCTGTGTTTTTGATCAAATAAATGCTTTTTTTAAGTGCTTATATTTTCCAATATACTGTAATATATGCATTGACCATGTATAGCTATATATTGATACAAATAACAATATTTAGAAATGAAGACAGAAATAGCATATGTATTATTCATAAAGTTTCATAAAAGTTCTGACTGTTAAAGGAGAGTCAATGTTAAAATTAAATGTGATTTCATGTGTTTTGCACAATATTATTATTGTGAATTTAAAAGGGTTTCTAGTATGTCTGAGTTTTTGGGATTACCGTTGTGCTGAAGTGTGTGTATGTGTGTATTACTAAATATAAAATTACATTATGGTATATAATATAGTCACATATTTCTCAGTATATGAAAAGTGGCAATTCCTTATGTATTACTCAATATATTGTAATATATTAACACAATATGTTATTCTGTATATTTTCAATATACTATTAAACCATTTAATATATTCATTATTCGTATATAAGGGGATATATTTTCTTTGCGTAAGGGTTATTACAAATCTAAAACAAAACGGCAAAAATTCTGCCATGCTGCACCTGTCCAAACACATTTGTGAATTCAAGTGTGCCATTACTTCTGGATTTGTTTTTACTTAAAATTGGTTAATGTGCAGTTGCAGTTGCTGTTAGCTGGACACTCACCCTTTACTGCTGATTCCTACACTAGCCGGTGCAAATGTTACATGAATGAAAACAAATGCAACTTTAAGTGAGCTTTTAAATGTTTTTTTTAAATATCTTTTCTTTATTATGAAATCAAGATCACTTTATATAATCGCAGTAATACTGAGTATGAGTGATTAAACTGTGTATCTGTAGAAGTAATGCAGCTGCACATGAATGAATGTAACCCGACAGACCTACAAGAGCATAAAGTACATTGTAGTATTTGAATTCATTGATAATTTATCATTTATAGTCCGTTCACAAACCTTTACATCAAACCACACAATTTCTATTTTTTTACTAGCTAAATAAGTGTCCTTTAAATAAACCCCATTTAAAAGAGAGATGTGAGATCTTAGAGATGTGGGCTCATCAAAGCCTTAACTGTGAGCGGGTTTCTAACAGCACACTGACCTCTACTGGATCAATAATGTTCAATATGCTGCTGCTGAAACTGACAATGGGTATGAGCCGTGTGCTCATGTGGGGCTTGGTACTTTCTACAACGCTGACAAAAATGGACCAATCACAATTTGATCTCAGTATAAGCCAATCACAGCAGTAACTGGTTAAAGAAGCCCATTTTACATTTTATAATAGCTGTTTTACAGTTACACTTTCACCAGTAATCTGTTTTTAAAATTTTAAACAAACATTAAATGTTTATTTAATGCTTTTTTTTATTTAACTAATAAATAATACATTTGTATATAAAAAAAAAAAAAAAAATATATATATATATATATATATATATATATATATATATATATATATATATATATATATATATATATATATATATATATATATATATATATATATATATATATATATATATATATATATATATATATATATATATATATATATATATATTGAGGGTGACTCAATATTCAGGGATTGCAACGCCCTCTGCAGGAGGACAGATGATTTACTGAGGAATGAGGAAATGAGTCATCAGTTTCAGACCTGCACTGACTTCACTTCCGCTGAACAAACCGAAAGTGTAAGAATCTCAAGCTTAAGAAACTGAAATCCTCATGGTAAGTTCATGACCTTCTTATAATGTTACTGGAGTTTTTGCAGGTTATCATTTTATACTTAATCTCTCTTTGTCTTTGATCATAGTGTAAATGTTATTTACATAGTGAGAAATTCATAGCTTTGGCTTGTATTTATTTACCAGTGTGGACAGTCAAAAATTTAAATCAGATTCCAATTAAATATGCACAAAAATTGGATTTGGACTGACAGTCTGAACAAGGTTTAAGCATCTGTTTGGTAGCCCTTAAAGCTGATGGTGCTTCTAATCAAGTGATAAAAATAAGTTGCAAATGTACAAAATACACATTTTATTGGTGCAAAGATGAATCACTTTATGTTTGACTACCAAATTATATGCAATATCTAATTATTATGTTTAACTCACACTCGAAAGGTTTCCGTGACATCTCGCGAGATCTCAGCAAAAAGTCTCACGATTCATTTTTGGAATATGATGCATGATGGGATACGCTTAATATGGGATGAGCTTTGCCTGAACTGCTTCCAGAACCCTCTTTTTTTCTTTGATGAATAAGAAAACGCTGCCACCACTTTCTTACACACACCAATTGCTCTTTCAACTCTTTTGTCCTTTCCTGCTGGAAAGAAAGAAAAGGAAAAACAACAGTGCAAGTATACGTAACTATATATGGTATAAATGGTAATAATATATATGGTAACAATAAATGCTGTACATCTGAATTATTTACGTAAAAAAAAAAAAAAGTACCACAACCAAACTTGTGACTGCATGTCTATGTACATTTTAATGCACTTAAATGAAACTATTGAGCGCTATATAAAACATTTTTCTATTGCCATCGATAAAGGTATACTGTCAATAAACGGTTTAATCGCCCAGGCCTACTTAAAAATCAGTTGTTGTTGTTTTAGAATGTATATTTTAAATGTTTATATTTTGTCTAATTTTAACCCTTATTTTGCACACATTGGGCCTCATTCATGAAACTTGCGTAAGTATATGAGTAAATTCTCACAAACGCTTCGTAAATGTCCGATTTGATAGTTAAACATGTGTATGTTAATGAATTCCAATCATTTGTAAATAGGGCGCTCGTGCACGCTCATTCACAATTAGCATAATCCCCGCCTATGAATTACAGCTACGCAAATTGCGTGTCCAGGAATGCAGTGGAATATTCTGGTCTACTTTCTCAGGTTTGGCGCCAGTATATTGCATAAATGCAAAAAAGACTAATAGGCCATTTGCCTAACAATAAATATTCAATACGTGTGTCCACCAAAGCGTTTTTATCCAGCTGAAAAAAATGTCAGGTGCTCTTCTAAAAACGACCAGCTGGTGGCGCTGGAGGACGCTTTGGTGGCACACCGTTTTTCCAGCTGAGGCGCTTTAGTTGCTATGATTTGGAATATCCACAGCAGCAACGTATTACTAGTATCTCATTTTGAAGAATATTACTGAATCTAAAATAGCAGTAACCAGTAATAGTGGCTTCTCCATTGTTGTGTAGACAGTCGTTGTACAAGTAGGATGGTTGGTCGCTATTTGTCCCACCCGTCCTCTATTTACAGTTGGGTAAATAGTGACCGTGACGATCGCTGCGTCAACTCGGCTGCAAAAAAAGAAGAGGAAAATTGAAAAAAGAGGGCAATGGCAAATGACCATGTAATTATTATAGCAGTGCATTAAAATACAGTGTCATATGCCAAAAATAACAGAACATTTTACGCAACAATTAACAAATGGTAGGGAGCAGGTATACATTTTTTTCGTACCAACTTTTCATAATTCGAAAGTTTATGTCAGCACGGCTTTATGAACGATTTACACAAAAATTTGTTCTGCTCGTGTTTCATGAATGAGGCCCATTGTATTGTATAGCGTACATACTGTATATATATTCACTATATGTGTTTCACAGCATTCAATTTGCACAGTTTTTGGAGGACAACATTGGGCAGGATGTGGAATTAAAAAAAATAAATACAGAAAATAAAACTTGTATCGAGTTAAATGATTACAAAGAAAAATTATTGATGCATATATATATATATTTTTTTTTAATCATGAGTTGCAGCCCGCGTTATGTTATTTAGAGATTATACAGATTTAAAAGATCATATGAGCAGTAAAACCATTCCATCTGTAGTGAATGTCATAAGAAGGTTACATCCAAAACTGGAAGTGCTTCCAATCTTTTCCAACATTTACAATAGCACTGTAAACGGCAGTACGAAACTTTGTATTGCTGTTGCAGCTAAAAATTCACACCCAAAAAGTATTCATCCCTGAAACAAAGTGCTTTGCAAGCTTCATTTACCCATTGTGTGCCTTAAAAGCAGATGTTTGCAACTGGTCTAAATAATGACTTCAGTGAAGACAAGAACTTTACAGTGCGTGCATAATTATTAGGCACATTGATATTCTGAAAAAAAATTTCCAAGCACATTTTACCAATACCAAACCACATCAATCGTAGTAACTACTATTAATTTTGTGTTTAATCATATATAAGTGATATAGAATTGTCCATGAAGGCTGGAAGTGAAAAACTCCTTATATTCAGGTGTGCAGAATTATTAAGCAGGTTTTCTTTTACAGATAAAATGTAATGAAATGAGCCAAAAAAGAGTTTTAACTCAGACTGAAAGTCAAAAATTATAAAATTCCTGTGAGAAGGATGCAATACTAATGCAATACTAGAATTTGCAAAGTTAAGGCATGACCTTTGGACAGCGAAATGCTCACTGGGTCAGCGAGGTCAGAAAAAACAGATTAAGAATTACGGTGAAGATTTAGGTGTAAAAGCATCAGGAACCATTTAGTCTCCAGTGCAACCATTTTCCAAAACTGCAACCTAACTAGAGTCTCCAGAAGTGCAATGTGTCAGATTTTTAGAGACTTTGCTTGGGTAAAAAAATCCTAAAAAATGACCTTCACTTAATAAGAATCACATGCTGAAGTGTTATGAAATACATGAAGACTGATTTTTTTTTATAGGCTTTATAGACAGATACATTGAGAGTGACTCTTGAAGGACCAGCATCACATCCTCTTGTACCACTCTTTCAAGAATTTATCTTCCAGAATCTGGCAGAAAGATTTGGGAGATCATTTTTAATCCATCTCTGCAAGACAGACTTTTCAGGATAGGAGATGGACTAAAAATTAGCTCCTAAAACCTACTGCCAGATTCTGGAAGATAAATTCTTGAAAGAGTGGTACAAGTCCATCTTAGCAAGAATCGACTAAAAATTAACTCAAAAACTTACTGCCAGATTGAAGATAAATTCTTCAAACAGTGGTACAAGAGGATGTGGTGCTAGTCCTTCAAGAGTCACTCTCAACTATATCATATAAAAAGCAGTCTTCATGAATTTCACAACACTTCAACATGTTATTCTTAACTAAGTGAGGATAATTTTTTAGAATTTTTGACCCAAGCAATGTCTCTGAGAACCTGACACCTTGTAGTTTTGGAGACTCCAGGTAGGTTGCAGTTCTGGAAAATGGTGGCGCTGGAGACTAAATGGTTCCTGATGGTTTCACACCTTATTCTTCACATTAATTATTTATTCTGTTGCAGTTAACGTGTTTTTTCTTCTCCACCTGTTTTATTCTGATCGTGCTGAACCAATGAAATTTCGCTGTCCAGTGGCCATGTCTAAACTTTGCAAATTCTAGTATTGCATCCTTATGGGTATTTAATAATTTTTGACTTTCAGTCGCAAATTCTAGTACTGCATAAGTATTGCATCCTTCTCATGGGCATTTAATACAATTTGACTTTCAGTCTGAGTTAAATCTCTTTTTTGGCTCATTCTATCTGTAAAAGAAAACCTGCCTAATAATTCTGCACACCTGAATATAAGGAGTTTTTCACTTCCAGCCTTATAATTTTAAATTAATATAAATTAATATATCACTTATAAATGATTAAATACACAATTAATGTCGTCGCCGTTAGCCTTGTGGGCAGCACGTCGACACGTAGCGCCATTGCGCTTCGGGTGTCCTGTGTTCGAGTCCCGGCTCGTGGACCTTTCCCGATCCCATCCCCCCTCTCTCCCACTTCGCTTCCTGTCTCACTACTATCATATCAATAAAAGGCAAAAATGACAAAAAAATAAATCTTTAAAAAAAGAAAAACACAATTAATAGTAGTTATTAAGATTGATGTGGTTTGGAATTGGTAAAATGTGCTTGGAAAAAAAAATATGATCAGAATATCAATGTGCCTAATAATTATGCACGCACTGTATATTGAAGAAAATACAACTCAACTGTCATCTTCAGACAAACTGAAAAAGAGTGTGTGTCATTGTATTTCAAAATGCAGAACAGAAATCTTTGTGAGGACAGAGACGAACACTGCCTCTAAAATGAGTCTTTTTGAAAAGAAAGAGGAGGAGAATGTTGTTCATCAGAAACAAAGACCAACATCTCCAGAGCCCAGCGGTGTGTCTGTGAAGAGTGATCGCTCCATAACAAAACCCCCTCAGTTTAGTGATGGAATAGGGACCTTTAACCCTAGGTGAGAAAATAACCAGTACTGGAAACAAGAGACAGAATTATAACTTATTTATATAATTTGTCATTGATAAAGCGAAATAATGTGAATTATTGTGTTTTTGCATTACCAGACCAAAGGAAGATCAGACAGCTTCAAGTTCAGTATCCAGCTATGATCTCAGTGTTGAAGCAATGACCTCTGATCCTATGTGAGTACAAACATGAATGTTCATTAATGTATATATATATTCATTAAAAGTATCTTTGTGAATCATGTTTTCTGTAGTTCAGAGCATTTCATTCTCACGAGTTAGTAAGAAGAGATTTGAGGTCTCATTTGTGGAGAAAAATTTTATAAACAAGTTTTACAGTTTAAACAAACTTGGAGAGACTTTTTTTTTTTTACAAAATATCATTTGAAGAATAAAGCTTGTTCTAGGTTAATCTAGGATGATGTGATATTAAAGTTTATAATCATTTATTCTTTATGTTGTTTTTCTTGTTTCTGCTGTGTGGATAGAGATGATCAGACTGGAGTCCTGCAGCAGGATTCCTACCAACCAGTAGACGATGATCTACACAGAATCAAAGATCAACACAAAAACGGCATGAAGAAAAAGTATGAGAGTTTATTTGAAGGAATCAAAATGCGAGAGAATCAAATCCTCCTGAACAGGATCTACACACAGCTTTACATTATAGAGGGAGAGAGTGAAGGAGTGAATGAAGAACATGAGGTTTTACAGATGGAGAAAACACCCAGAACACAACGCTCACAAGACACTCCAATCTACTGCAATGACATCTTTAAACCATTATCTGAACCAGAACGTGTGAAAAATGACAAAATAAAGATAGTTCTTACTAAAGGCATCGCTGGAATTGGAAAAACGGTCTCTGTGAAGAAGTTCTTTCTGGACTGGGCCGAGGGAAAAGCCAATCAAGTTCAGAAGTCCCTCAAACTCTGACTGAAATGTACATCCACTTCTTGCTCACTCAGATAAACATGGGAAATCAAAAATACAAAGAGAGAGATCCAGAGAAAGTCCTGCAGTCCAACAGAGAAGTGATCGTTAAACTTGCTGAACTGGCTTTCAAACAGCTGATGAAAGGCAATGTGATGTTCTATGAGAAGGACCTGATTGAGAGCGGCCTAGACGTCACTGACGCCTCGGTGTATTCTGGGATTTGCACTGAGATCTTTAAGGAGGAATCTGGTGACTGTGTCAAAGGAATAAGATCTGAACTCAAAAATGGCTATTTTAGGATCACAGAGGGCTGAAAACAATGCAGATTAATTCACCTAAACGCAATGAAGTGGAGTTGTCCAGATGTGTTCAGATTTTTTTATTCCATCATATACAGTGAAAGAGTGAGAAAAGCTGCGTTATAGCTTCAGCTGTGAGGTTTCTCTAAATAATGCAGATATATGTACAGCTTGCTAATGAGAGCTCTAAAACAGCTGTTTATTGTGAGAACTGGTGAGAATTACACACTTGGGATTGCTCAAGGATTGGATGAGTATGGAAGCCTGTTTCTGCCACAGAATAAAATGGTTTAAAAGATAATTGCGATTTATAATCTCACAATTGCGAGTTTACATCTTACGAATTGCGAGATGTAAACTAGCAATTGTGAGATAAAAAGTCACAATTATTTTTTATTGTGTCTGAAACAAGGTTCCATACATGAGAGTACGTTTGCAAACAGCGGCAAGTTTGGTACCGAAAGGCTGTAAGGAAACCGTGTGCGGAAAGCCCTTATATGGAGATGTTTTGGGTGTATTTTATGCTAATGACTAACCTCGTGCACGCGGCCATTCATTAGAGTACTCCAAATTCACGAACGTCAGAACGATGTTAAGAACGAATTTATATACGTACGAAATTGTTGTGAATTTTTCATGAGAAGTTCTTCTGTGTGTACAAATTCACTAATAATTGCGTGGATTATTTCGCATGAGACCCAATGTCTTAAGGCGTGATAACAATAAGTGGAATAATTCACAAAAAATATGTGTATCATTTTTCTAATAATTAATCAGTAAGTCATCAATCATTACATATGTACTTACATAGATTTTCGAGAATTTTATAATGATTTTAAAGGGGTCATATGATGCGATTTCAATTTTTCCTTTAGAGGATCAGTGACGAGCAACAAGTCGGCAGAATCATTTCACATATTAAAAAAGCAAAAAGCCTCCACATCATGTGCCACATACCCGTCTTCTGCTGGATCTCAGCCACTGTGCTACAGCAGCTCTTAAAAGAAGATCTCAGTTCAGAAGTCCCTCAAACTCTGACTGAAATGTACATCCACTTCTTGCTCACTCAGATAAACATGGGAAATCAAAAATACAAAGAGAGAGATCCAGAGAAAGTCCTGCAGTCCAACAGAGAAGTGATCGTTAAACTTGCTGAACTGGCTTTCAAACAGCTGATGAAAGGCAATGTGATGTTCTATGAGAAGGACCTGATTGAGAGCGGCCTAGACGTCACTGACGCCTCGGTGTATTCTGGGATTTGCACTGAGATCTTTAAGGAGGAATCTGTGATTCATCAGAGGAAAGTCTACAGCTTCATCCATCTGAGCTTTCAGGAGTTTCTAGCTGCTTTCTACGTGTTTTACTCCCATGTGATGAAGAACATGGAGCCATTGCAGTTGTTTCTTGATAAGTATAAGGGATCTCTTTATGAGCTACTAACATCAGCAGTTGATCAAGCTCTTCTTAGTAAAAATGGACACCTGGATCTTTTTCTGCGGTTCCTGTTCGGTATTTCACTAGAGTCTAATCAGAGACTCATGAAAGGTTTACTGACACACACAGAGAACAGCTTAGAAACCATCAGAAAAACCACGCTACACATTAAAGACAGAATCAATGTACATTACGATTTCTCGGCTGACGGATCCATCAATTTGTTCCTCTGTCTGCTCGAAGTGAATGATCAGACTCTGTCCAGAGAGATTCAGGAGTTTGTGAAATCAGACAAACACTCAGAGGTGAAACTCTCTTCTGGTTATTGCTCAGCAATAGCCTACATGCTTCAGATGTCAGAGGAGGTGCTGGAAGAGTTTAACCCTATGGAATACAACACATTAGATGAAGGTAGATGGAGACTGATACCAGCTGTGATGAACTGCAGAAAAGCTCTGTAAGTGTTCAGGAGAACAGATTTGTCTGCACAAAGAACTTTGTGTCACAGGATATTAACTGTCATCAATTAAACACTGTTTAATTTTACAGTACAGAAAACATGATTTTAACCAACTCTCTCTTGTCATTGTCTGTTATAGACTTGCTGGATGTGGTCTCTCTGATCAGCACTGTGAAATTTTGTCTTCAGCCCTACAATCATTAAACTCCCATCTGATAAAGTTGGACCTGTGTAATAATGAGCTGCAAGATGCAGGAGTGAAGCTGCTTTCTGCTGGACTGAAGAGTGCACACTGTCAACTGAACATACTGAGGTTTGACTTTTACATTCACTCATTCACTACGTTCAAATGCGTGTATGAATAGGTGTTTTCTCAGGTGTCTTTGATTAGTCTTATAGCTAAACTCTGCAGGGAAGTGGCCTTTCAGGGCTGAATTTGAGTGTCGCCAAACCTTTCAGAATGTGCACCTCTTCTTTATGTTTGATTGTTGTATTTGAATGATTTGTCACTGTATGACATCTGACTCCTTCATTAAATAGTTAAATATTCAAATCACATTTTCTTTGTATTGCACTTTTCACAATACACTTTGTTTCAAAGCAGCTTTCAAAAAGATGCATGTTTCAAACGTTACAATAAAGAAGAGGTGACTGTGTCAAGGGAATAAGATCTGAACTCAAAAATGGCTATTTTAGGATCACAGAGGGCTGAAAACAATGCAGATTAATTCACCTAAACGCAATGAAGTGGAGTTGTCCAGATGTGTTCAGATTTTTTTATTCCATCATATACAGTGAAAGAGTGAGAAAAGCTGCGTTATAGCTTCAGCTGTGAGGTTTCTCTAAATAATGCAGATATATGTACAGCTTGTGTGAAAGTTTGTCTTCAGCTCTACAATCATCAAAGTCCCATCTGAGAGAGCTGGACCTGAGTAACAATGACCTGCAGGATTCAGGAGTGAAGCTGCTCTCAGATGGACTGAAGAGTCCAAACTGTCAGCTGGAGACACTGGGGTTTGACTTTTACATTCAACCATTCACTATGCTTAAATATGCAGTTTTAAAGGTGTTTCAGTGATCAGATTTTAAAATATGTATTCTCTAACAACTGTGTCCCACTGGCTAAATAACAGTGTAATTTTTTTTAAAGAAACAAAAGCTTCCCAACTAATTCCTTATCTGTTGAATGTTTCTATATTTTTATTGTAAAACATGACAAAAATACTGATTAAGAGTTTTGTATTGAATGACAGTTTGAAAATACAAGACAGGAACTGATCTTAACTTACCAACTTAACACAATACAGTGTATACCATTAAGTGAACAAATTACAAAGACACGCATAAGAAAAAATGTTATCTAAAGTATAGCAGCCTACTGAGATATTTACAAACATAGATACAGAGGAAACCACTGAAACAACAAGAGGAAAGCACTGAAAGGGACTACAGGTGGAAACAATGACAAAGAAATAGTCAAATAAACAAACTCAAAACTACAAAAAAAATAAAATAAAAATAAATACTCAACATTACTCCAGCATAAATACAGGAGGTACCTAGTGTTTATAATAGACACTTTATCCTACTGGTGGTTACGTACAGTGGGTACGGAACTATTTCAGACCCCCTTCAATTT